GTCGCATTGTGTCCGGAAGGTGATAAAACAATACATTTTCAGTTGTTCGTCATTCATACGATGATATTTGAAAGCGTTGCTTTACTCAGTAAAGTAACGCATCAGTAAAGAAAATGCGCCACCCCTAGATAGCGCTATCCGAGATGCATATTCTAGACTATTTAAATGACAAAAAAAGAGTATTTTCGATTTTTGGCCAAATGTCCACCTATTGAAACATAAAATCTGTTGTTTTCTTTTTATTTTCTTTAGTTTGTTCGGATATTTGTTATGTAAAAGGATGGTCCGCATACGAACCATCAAATTGCAGCCTGGTCCGATCCATTCCAAAAAGGTTGGCCCGGTTCGACCTGACCCGTGGGTCCCCTAGATTTTCCCGGTGTGTGACGATTTCTGGTCTAGATAAAAGAACTTGTGATAAATTCAGAAAACATTATTTTATTCTTTTAAAATTGATCGAAAAAGATCATTAAACAAATGGATTTTTGATAGTAATGATGAGACTAATATGAATATTTTCGAGAGTTTCTCTTCAACTCTTGCTCCATTATGAAATATTTCAAAAATTTAGAATAATAATCTATAATATTTTAAAATATTATTAAGGAGCTTGTTCAATAAAAGTTGTGTGAAACGTATGGCATTAATGCACTCAGTGCCATTACACCTTAAAAATTCAAAATCTGGAAGATGACTGTGTCGATCAATGTGTGCAATTCGTTATACAAGAGAAAACTTAATATGTATATCTCAAGCGCACATCCGTAAGCTAAACTTCGAGAGGTAACTTCAAAATCTGTTAATTTTTTTTATGACTACCTTGCCGCCATGCGCCCTCAACTCTCCCTCCTTCTATCATGTGTCATCGTTCACCGTCCACCACCCAAGTTAATGACGTGATACTTGAAGGGCATCTGACAGATTCGAATATAGAAGGATGAGTTAATAAACAATTCTTTCCTTCTGAACAATTTTTCACAAATTACCATATGTCAGCATATTTTTTACGCCATTTCTGGAACCACACCATTCCACTACTTGCGAACTGAGAGAATAAACAGTAAAGTCGACTAAAAATCGACCGATTAGTAGAATTATAAATCAGTCAAGTATCATGTTCTGACTGGTTCAACTCCCACTATCAACCGACAAGTCAAAATTATTGTTTCGGTGTTGTATGTTTGTAGTACGACTAGTCAGTAGTACAAACAAGAAAAGAAAACGATGAATGAGTGATTTTATGATTTCGACTAGTCGCGAACTGATCGACTAGTTAACGGCTAGTCGAAAAAACGGCGAACAGCCGATGTCGGTTCGACTAGTTAAGAATTCTGACTAGTCGATAATCCGAGTACATACCGACTGATCGGCAAAAATTTCGACTAATCGAAAAAGAATTTTCGACATTTCCGACTTGTCGGTACACTAGTCGATTCTGATTTTACGTTCACTTGGGTTAGTTAACATTCTGAAACAATTTAACGTCGATGTGTTATGCGATGTATATCAGAGCCCTGCAGGTTGATCCTAACCTAACCTAACCTAACCTAACCTATAGGTTAAGTTAGGATTAGGTTGCAAAAGTTATAGGCTAGGTTAGGTTATAGGTTGTTCTATTTTTTTTTCAATGGTTAGGTTAGGATTAGGTTGTCGACTCCATAGGTTAGGTTAGGATTAGGTTGTGAAATTTTTTATAGCTTAGGTTATAGGTTGCCAAATATTGGCAACCTGCAGGGCTCTGATGTATATATCTTCTCTATGGGAAATAAAGAATGATTCATCTACTTTAATCTTATTTATTTGAGTGAGTTCAACCGATTAATCATTACTGACCTCATTGGATAAAAGATGAACTAGTGGAGATACGTAACATTAAAGAAAAAGGCTTAAATAGACAGAAAAATCTAGGAGAAAATTATTGAATATTATTATACAACTGTCGCATTTCTTCTCATTTTTTTCTATGCGTGATTTATTTATGCCCTTGCTTTTATTAATTTATTGTTGTTGTTTTTTATTCTATATAAACGGTAAACGAACGACTTAGAAATGCATGTTGTAGCACTGCATTTTGGTATTATCGAGTAAAGTAGAATACATAAGTTGAAGGCACTTGGATTGTTAATACTGTGCCTCGATAAGAACAGCTAAAATAAATCTGAAAAAGGATTTACGTAACTGAAAGTGTTTACTGTCAGGGCTGGTATGTGCCATAATTTCATTGACATTGATGAAAGTAGAATATGTAGTACAAATGCACGATCACCAAATGTGAGTCTCTGGAATCGATTGAGAACGTTTAACTAAACAACTTAGTCTTATAGAGCAAACATTTCTGAACAAAATGAGATGTCTCTGAGCTCTCTTCGATCTGTCTTCATCAGCCGGTATTTAATTTACAAAAGACCACGAAATTAGGCATGTAACCGTAGATAACCGTTCGAACGGTCAACCGTAACCGTAAATAATCGCTCTATAACAGCTTAATATATGTTTGGTTTTTAGTTCTTTGATATCAGTTTACATTAGAAGTAGACAAGGACGGTCTTTGTCCTGACGTTATAGTGCATCTGCAATAGTGACAGTCTACATTACGTTGCACAAAAACGGCTGTTAAGTGGTGGCATCGCCAATATCTCATCAACCACTGTTTGTCAGAGTAATTTGGTTTTTTAAACAAAATCTTTCACTTTTCATCTTGAATCTTAGCATTTTATCTAATGAATTTGGGTACCACACAGATTTGAAGTGCATCCATGTTACTATAGCAGAACCACTAAACAGTCAGAACAAAGACCATCCTTGTCTACTTCTAATGTAAACCGATATTAAAGAACTAAAAACCAAGTATACACTAAGTTGTTGTAAAGCGGTTATTTACGGTTACGGTTAACCGTTCGAACGGTTATTTACGGTTAACGGTTAATAGCCGTAACCGTTGCATGCCTACACGAAATGTCAAACGAATTAAATTTATCGAAATTTTCAAGAGAACAGTCGCAGAGAGCTCAGCGACATCTTGTTTTATTCAAAAATGGTTGCTCTATAAGACGTACGTTGTTTATTTAAACGTTCTCAATCGAGATCTGATGATCTTACTTTTTCAATGGAAAAAGATCAATAGTTCAAGTGTCTTCAACTTATGTTTTGCGTTTACTATACTTTTTTCTTCATTTGGATATATAATAGATGATGCAGTTTAAGTTCTCTTCTGTGACAACTGTAAGGTGCAGATAATGCACAATTTCAATGAAATTTGTTTCTGGCATTATTATTCATATTCAGATTCAGCTTAACGAGCTGATTACGAATAATACCTTCCGAGCCTCCTAAAACCATTTCTTCATGGAGAAAAACTCAAAATACTAAGAGGACCTCAAAAATACAAAAAACCATCCTGTATGGTGGAATTGACTTTTTGAGGGTATATTGC